TTTAGTGTTGCATGTTTGAGATCCAGGCTCATGAGTCCATTTTCCTCTTCCAAAGCAACAAGGAGAGCAGAGCATCCTCCTCCATTTTTTATGTGACTACACTGACACATTAATGTGTGAACCAAGAACTATTTTTGCATGTTAACACAAATGGTTCTGGACTTGGGAGAAAGGGAGAGGCTACCAACGTACCTTCTGCAGTGAAAAACATGGTGTCCCCAAACGTGAACGTTCCCATTTAACTAACCATTGAAGTCAATTGGATTGGAAACTTCCTATCTTTATAGTTTAGTGCATAACATTCTTTTTTAATTATTAAGAACTCAAGGGTTGTAATGAAAATGCTTTTGGAAAACTTTAGTCTTAAGTGGTAGGGTAGAAAGGATAATCATAGCTCAGTTATCCAGAATGCCTCTGACACACAGCAATGTCATGAGGAATGAAAAAAGAGAACATTCAGCTTCTTCTATGGCAGTTTACAGCTGCAGTTACAGATTCAACACAGACAAATCCTCAACGCTGCTAAAGAAGCACTTCTACTATATGACAGGTAAATTGATTTTAATGTAAGGCAGCAATGTTATTCAGAGATGACACCTTCCCTGCCCTCCCCCCAAAGCACACACACCCCAAACTGGAGACCTCTACAAACTATCTCAAAATAGATAATGTGTTGTGGGCTGCAATGGGGGAGGCAGCCTCTATAGGGTCATCCAAAATAATGTCTTTCTTTCTTTCTTTCTTTCTTTCTTTCTTTCTTTCTTTCTTTCTTTCTTTCTTTCTTTCTTTCTTTCTTTCTTTCTTCTTTCTTTCTTTCTTTCTTTCTTTCTTTCTTTCTTTCTTTCTTTCTTTCTTTCTTTCTTTCTTTCTTTCTTTCTTTCTTTCTTGATTGGTTGATTGATTGATTGATTGATTTGATTTGATTTGATTTGTATCCCGCCCATCTGGTCTATACGACCATGTCAATTTTTAAAATATTTTGTTTCATTGGAAAAAAAAATATCCATGAACAACTATATTCAGAAAATTGGAGAAAAGAGCTTTCAACTAGCATTCCTAAGGTGAATGCTTTGTTTATGTGCATGTATGGTTAGATCTCAATTACAATAATATAGTAGCTGAAGCAATTCAAAGCTGCTGCTTGGGACATGTAGGCACATGTTCTTCTCAGTTACTTACAAAACACTCCCCCTCTCCCCAATTTAAGTGTCTCTCTCCTAGACCAGTGGTTCTTAACCTTTGTTACTCAGGTGTTTTTGAACTGCAACTCCCAGAAACCTCAGCCAGCAGAGCTGATGGTGAAGGCTTCTGGGAGTTGCAGTCCAAAACATCTGAGTAAGAAAGGTTAAGAACCAGTGTCCTAGACCATCATCTTACTCATGCTTACACAGATGCATTTCAACATGACTTGCTTCCAAAGTCAGCATGCATAGGACTGCAGCCTCCAGGGTGAACTTTGGCTGCAACAGTGCAGATTTTAAAAACAGAGGGAGGCTTCTTTATGTAACAGCCATAACTTAGAGAAAGCATTCCCTATCCCTAGCTTAGGAAATCAGAACTCTTACAAGGAAGCCTACCCACTATTTTGCCCATCTGACAAGAAGCAGGAAAGGCGATCACTGATGTTTCTTATCAATATAAGGAAGTTTTACTATGCAAAGCAAAAAAGCAAAGTGTGCTGCTTATATACTGTCCCATAGTGCTAAAAGCACTCTCTGGGCAGTTTACAAGTTAATTATGCAGGCTACACATTGCTTCCCGTCCCCCAGTGAGCTGGGTACTCATTTTATCAATCTCGGAAGGATAGAGGGCTGAGTGAACCTTTAGCCGGCTAACTGGGACTGAACCCACGGGTCGTGAGCACAGTTTTAGCTGCAGTACAGCAGTTTAATCACTGCGCCATGAGGCTCCTTGATAAAGTATTCTTTAGTAAGCTGAACAGAATGGAGTGTGGAGGAAATATGGGCTCAGATAATGGAAGATGCAAATGTTTCTCCAGCCATTTGGGCTGACAGCTTATTCACAAAGCTTGTAGTAGCAAGACACAGGGCTCATTAAACAGCTGGACGCCAAACACACTGAAGGGGGAGGTGATGTCTACAACAAGTAGTAATTATTTCGAATTCACATCTCATGCAAGCTTCATCTATAGAAACATCACTCCTGACTAAAGATGGACGCTTCGTATTCATATCCAGGGAAAACGAATACAATGTGTGCCAGCAAAATATGTCCCGGTGGTTCATTCCTGTCCCTGCCTGGAAGCAGCATGGTTCACTAGCCGGGCTCTGTATGGCATATGCATCCATCAACATCGGCATTGTGCCAATCCTGCCTGGCATTTCCCCACCTCTGTCCACAGCTGACTGCTCAGCAGCTGGGTGGGGAGATTCATATTCCCACCTCCTCACTGGAGTGGTTTGCTGTGAGGTCAGACGAGGAAGCACCAGCAGGACTACGGCCATGATTGGCATGACATTGGTGTTGACGGATGCATGGACCACTTACAGAGCCTGGTAAGTGGACTGGGCTGGTTCTGGGGGGTGGGAATGGACCAACAGGGCACCTGTGCTGGCGCACTTTATATTTATATCCCCTGGATAGGAATACGAAGTGCGCATCTCTACTCCTGACCCATAAGTAAACAATCTTTCATAAGAGAACATAGGGTGGAAAAGTTGAAGAAAGTTTTTATGATAAGGATTTGTCCCCTGTGAATCAGAGGTGTGTGTTGGGGGCCCGAGGGAGTTGTTTGCCATTTGAGCAGAAAAGCTGATCAAGCCTTTTGCTCTCATAAAATGTCACCCTGAAAAAGCAGCTCCTTTTGTGCTATTTCTGACTACACTGTATTTAAGGAGGAATTGGCCATCTGCTTTTCCCGCCTACCTTTTAAATAAATGCATATGCAAAGAGACAGGAGGGAGGAAAGGATTGCTACTCTCAGTACATTAAGCCAGAGAAAACTATTTGAAGAAATAATTTGCATTTTGGAAGATCTCTTTTAATTAGTCCTCCACACTGACAGAACCAAAGTTACTGTCTTTTTAACTGACAAATGATTGATTTGAATCTTAACACTAAACCACAGTTTAGTATTACAATAATGAATGGCAATGAACTTTGGACTTACACACTCCTTGCTCCCTTAGTGCTCCCACAAAAAAGAATTAAAAAACACTCACTTCCATTTTAGATTTACCCACAACTTACAGCATCATTTGAACCCAGACAAACTGTAGCTAATCTAAACAATGATAGTTAGCTAAAACAAGCCAACATCAAACCATAGTTTATGAAGCTGTCCTGTTGCAACAAAAGAAAAGTAACAGTAAACACAGTTTAAAATCCAAACAACATTCTAAACTATAGCAAAGCTAAAATAGAAGTTGAGGTTTCTGATCTCCTTTCTGTGACAGCACAGTAAGAAAATAAGAGAGAGATGAAGGGTCAGTATGTGAATGTAGGGAGGAAAGGAAAGGCAATACAGCACTATTTACCATTATGCTAACATGATCTAGCATATTGGCTAAGTCCAGACAATGATGGAGTAAATATATTTAATCTCCAACCCCCAGTGGATACGTTGGCAAGTGTGGATACAGGGAGAGAAGGGAGAGCTTGCTGGGTGAGGAGAAAGAAATTTTTTGCAGCTTTCAGCTGCAAATTACCTTTGAAATTTTTGCAGCTTTCAGCTGCATTTCAGTTGTCTTTTCCAGACTTTCCTGTATGTCACCTCTTCTTATCTGTGCCTATTACTCAGGACTGACGAAGCGGCTATTGCTTTACCAGCAGGGAAAGTTATTTCAATTGAGGATGAAGTCCAGCTGAGAAATACTCATTTTATGAACTGGACCAGAAGAGCAATCATCCATCTGCACGTAAAATGTATGGAGGTGGCTCTGTATTTAGGACTGGTATTTCTGTTTGCCCTCTCCCCCTTCTTTTCAACTCGTATTGCTCCTGTAGGTCTAACAAGAATCTGGCATACAGAAATTAAGTTGACAAAGATTTTCTTGACATGGAGATAGATGGTAAGAAAAGAATCCACTTGCTACATTTTTTCCTGGAGCAAGACCAAGGGTAGAGGGATGTGGGAGGTGGGAAGGATGAGCGGCAAACCTGTTATATGTACGATGAAAAAGGCAGAGCGGTCGTACACAGTATCTCCAATAGATTTAACATGCAGCCATCTCCCCACACAAGAATCTTGATTGGAATCTCGGCTCCTGCGTGGAGCTTTGCAGTCCTACAGCTGCTTGCAGACAGTGCTGCAATGAGGATAAGTGTTTGGGGCAAAAGTCCAGGGCCTCATCCAGCATAAGGAGTGGGAACAGTGGGCAAATGCAGGACGGCTCATTTTGAAGGACGCAAAGTGGTATACACACATGGCCATCTACAGAGGAGGGGACTCCCATAAGGCCAAAATTATCTAACTGCCCTACTGCTCACTATAGGTTCATGCACACAGACAACAATGCTGTGCTTCACAAGCCCAAGGCAGACCAATCAAATCTCCTTTTGTCATTTTAGGTGCAACGGGGTAAAAAGACGGTCCTAGGATGGCTGGCCCTTGTAAACAATTAGCAAATGTCAAAATGCATTCCTTCTAACATGAGCAGACTCTCCCCCTGCCCTCTACGCCACCTGGCCTCCCGTCCCACCTGGCATCCAACCTACCGACACACACATGCATGCATAAATGCTCAGACACAACCTCGCACACCAGCAAGCTCCTGAACAAGATGGTCCTGTTCTATACATCAACGTGGTGGGACTTGAAAGATGAACACCCACACATTAGAAGCAGCAAATTGATACACATGTATTTGCAGTCAACTACATACAGCTCAGAGATAACAGTGCTAGCTTGGTGACTTTTTTTTTGAAACATCTGCCACATGCGACCAGAAAGGAAAGGCACGCCAGCAAGCAAACTGACAGACATTCAAGGCATAAAAATCTGTATCTCTTCTCTACACAAGAAAAGTCAACAGCATTACCTGTTCCTGTTGTTGGACTGATTTTCCTGAAGCATTTTGTTCCTTAGCTGTAGTCATGGTCACCTACTTGTGCCCACTGCAGTGGGAAACGGGATCTCACAAGTCTGTGTGGATGTGTTTGATTGTATGCCCGTGCATGCGAGAGAGAGAGAGAGAGAGAGAGCAAGAGAGATAGAGAGAGAGAGAGATAGAGAGAGAGAGAGAGAGAGAGAGAGCATTCAACTGTGCAAATGTTTTCAGCCACCAAAGCTAAAGGATGAGGGATGGGTAACTAGCCCCCCGGACTCAATCACCAGCTGAGATAGCGGTTCCTTTTGCACTCCCCCCTTCCCAATTAAAATTTAGTGCCACCAAGATACATCCCACCCCCTAATCTCTCTCTCTCTTTCTCCGTCTCTCTGTCACTCTCTCTTCCCTTTTCTTTCTGCTTTGTCAATTTAAATGAGGAGAGTGAAAGAACAGAAAGGAAGATGCTGAAAGGGCTCCTTCAATTAGCAACAGCCTCCTCAACCATCACAGAAACAATAACTGCTTGGCAACCAGGAACTAGCGGCTCAGAGCTGGAAGACTGTGATGTGGTACTCCTCTCTCTCTCTCTCTCCCCTCCCTCCATCTCCACTGCCAGTTGAGAACTAGAGCTGCGCATGCTCCCAATCAACCTTGTAACAGAGCGTACAGAGTAGAGTTCATCAGTCTATTTAAACTGCTGGCATTTGCAATAAGGAATCAATAGGAATGAATGCTGAGCAGCACCTCCCACAAACTGTCCTTCTGTTATGCTCACTCATTTAGGCTTAATCACAGCAAATACACAGTTGCATTGGGGCTCCTTCCAAAGCAGCCCCGGGGAGGCTTCCCCTGTGACATGAGTGGTTTTTGACATTCCACATCTCTGTTCATCTTTTCTTGGTAAAAAAAAAAAGTTTGGAAGATTCACATGGTACAGTATGTTACAGTTTCCACGGGGGTTGCTCAACACAATGAGACCATTCTCCTCTATTCAGCAGTGGTTAAACCTCTTCTTCAGTACTGTGTCCAGTTTCGGACACTGCACATCAAGAAGGATGCTGACAGATCAAAACAAGTTGAGAGGAAGGCAACAAGGATGAGCATGGGAATGGAAACCAAGCCCTAGGAGGAAAGACTGAAAGAACTGGGAATATTTAGCCTTGAGAAAAGAAGACTGGGGGGGAGATATGACCGCACTTTTCAAACACTTGAAAGGCTGTCATTCAGAGGAGGAGCAGGATCTGTTCTCGATCATTCCAGAGTGCACGACATGCAACAATGGGTTCAAGATACAGGAAGCCAGATTTTGGTTGAATATCAGGAAAAAACTTCCTAATTGTTAGAGCAGTACAACAGTGGAACCAATGACCTCGAGATGTGGTGAGTGCTCCAACACTGGAGGCATTGCACAGAAATTTAGAGAACCACCTGCAGTTATCCTTTGATATGTGTTCCTGCATTGAGCAGAGGGTTGGACTAGATGCCCCCCCTTTCTCTCTCTTTTCAATCTTTTTGACCATGCAAGTAGATTACACTGCCACAAAAATAGGTTTGCTGAAATCTGCCATACTCTTGATTTTTGATTTTACATTATAAGGAGAAGACTATTTTCAGGGGTCAACAGAACTCATTTTGAAGTATCTGTAAAAATTGCAGGGTGAGTAATTTTCACATTGTGAGGTCAGTGTTTTCCAATTTTGGCACAACTGCTACTAACTACAGTACTTCCAACCTGGCACACCATTCTTTTCTTGTGATAGGATATCATCTATTGCCCTTCCATGTGCTTCCACGGATGCTCTCAACATGTCCCAGAAGCCCGGCTTCATCCAGCAACTGGCAAGCAAGGAAAGGAATTCCAGCTCATCATGGTGAGCAGAAATTTAGTTTCCCATTCCTCAGCTGAAGTTTCTGGCACCGGACTGAAATTAGCCATTCTGCCTACATGGGCCAAAATCCTGTTGGGCACAATGGCCTGCATAATGGGAATGACTTTAGCAGCAGCAGACTGATGCTGACTCAGGGCTTATTTTTGCAATTTCAGGATGCATGCAACTTTGTTCCATTTTGTACATTAACCAAAATCGCGAAAGGAAGCCTTGAAGCAGTGGCTGGACAGGTACAAGAGTTTAGCCACTGAAGAACAGTTGGTGTAGTAGATAGAGTTTCAGACTAGGACTCAGGAAACCTGGGTTCAAATTACAACCCATGGAAACTCACTGGGGGATGGCAAATAGAAATCTCACATGCTCAAAAACAACAACAACAAAAAACCCAATTAGGTTTGCCATAAATCAAAGCAATGATGACAACACTTCTTTACTGAAGCATTACCCAATTAAGGTTGTCGTAAATCAAAGCAATGTTACCACACATGATGACAACACTTCTTTACTGAAGCATTAGATTTATGCTTCATTCTGTCCCTCTATCTGTACATTTATATCCTATCCTAACCTTCTACCAATGATCTCAAGGAAGGAGGGCAGGTACAGGGTTCCCCTTCTGTCTTTACCTTGACTGGTTTTATATCATCCATTGAGGGTTTTTTTTAAATGATTTAAAAATTTAATAATCAGACTTGTTACAAGGCAAAATATATTACAATTCAATGTATGACATTACACACAGTACATAATGATAGACAAGAAACAAAACCTGTTCGTCGGGGACTACAACCCAGATCCCCCAATTTTCAGTCCCAAATTTAATCACTATGTCATATTTGAAGGTGCGATTATTCTTGGATCATTCTTAGATTACATATATATCAGCTAAAGCAATTCTTCCCAGCTGCTGATAGATCAGCGATGCAGAAAAATGGTGAAAAGTTGACTCATGGACTGAAATCCTGTTGCTTAGCATAGTGAATCACGTCTAAAGTAGGCCTGTTGAATCAATGAAAATTACGAAGGAGCTGAGTCACCAAAATACCCACTGGTTCAATGGACCTACTCTAATTGTGGCATACTAGTCTAAGGAATAGGACTTCAGTCTATGCGAAACAAAAATATTTCCACATTTTTCAATATTTCTAAAGTAAGTCTTTAATCTTTGAAGGTCTTTAAAGATCTTTAACCTTGAAGGGGAAAGGGTGCACGCTGGGCAAATTCAGTTCTCAAGACTTCAGCTACCAGAGATGCCCCAGCCAGCAAACCCATCAGCCACAGACAGTGAGACGTGAAGTTCAATATAATTGTAGGGTCAACAGCAGAGAACCGGTAGGCCCAATAACTTCCATTTTCTTTCATTTTTTTAAAAAACACCACAGCCTTCTTTGAACTAGCAATAGCCCAAGATGAGATACATCGGATTGAAAAAAAAATAACAAAACGAGGAACAAAAGAAGACAAAAACATTATGGCACCTTGACGACTAACTGCTATATTTTAGCAAGACCTTTTGTGGGTCAAGTCCACTTCCTCAGACAAGACGTGACATGTTACACAAAGGTTGTGTAGCTTGGCTCTTATTTCCAAGAATCATTTTCTTTCACACAGAGCATAGTAAGCTACAGTGTGAATCTACTCTCAAATAAACCAAAAATCTCTGGCAGAAAGCAACAGAAAAAGAAAATGGTGGCTCCTGCCACTTGTAAAGCCTTCTCAAGCTGCAGGGCTGTGGCATCTTGCTTTGCGGCCACAGACTCATTCACATCCATGTGGCCAACATCAACGTGATGATTTGTACCTCTTTGTCTGTCAAGTTAGCCTCTGCTCCTTTCCTGCCGTTTGAGCATCTGCTGCCACTTCACAGCCTAGTGTCCCACCTGTGTCAAAAGCAGCTACTCATCCTGTATAGCTAATACCTGTCAAATGAAACGAGGCATTGATGGGGAACTAAGACACTGAATTAAGTGAAAGTTCTTGGTGTGTCACAAAGAGAGTTGCCTGTCCCATTTTTCCCTCAGAAAGATACAGGCGATGTTTTTTTTTTCCTCCAGGAAAAAAATATACTGTATGCAGATTTTGAATTTAATACATGCTACCAGTGTGCCCCCCCCCCAGTGGTCCATCGATTTGGCTTGTTCACTATCTCAGATGCAACCATTCTGATTTAGCACTGTCTTCCAGTTCAAGAAATAATTGCCTCTGGGCAGCTAGGCAAAGGCAGTTGCGTCAGTGGGGTGAGAACAGATTACTTCTGTCTGTCCTTTTGCTATCTGCAGGCCACAAACCACCAAAACAAGTACACTTGAATATAGCGGACAGGAACAGTTGTCATGGCTAGCTGCTTTCACCTGCTTATTTGCAAAGTTGAATGAAGCCCCAGATAACTTTCGAAACAAAAGGCTGCTCTTTAACTGTCATGGTGATTTCAGTCTTAGAGTGTATTATAGTCTAACAGTGAGGCCCCTATTATTATAACTTAGGTCCTACAGTTCCTGCATTCAGCGCTTTAAATGGTTTTGACGTCATGGTGAAGGCAGGAGAGAGACAAACAATTCCATGATTGTTTTCCATTACATTCGTTTTTCATTTATTCTACAGCAACACTTTTTGTGTGTGTGCTCTATTTCTTTTCTCAAGGAAATAAGAAGGAAACAATTCTCCCTTTTTGAAATTACAGTATTATCGCTGCTGTTTTCTACAGTAAAAGGTAAAGGTTCCCCTTGACATTTAGTCCAGTCGTGCCTGACTCTAGGGCGCGGTGCTCATCCCCGTCTACAAGCCGTAGAGCCAGCGTTTGTCCGTAGACAGTTTCTGTGGTCACGTGGCCAACGCAACTAGGCTCGGAACCTCGTTAACTTCCCACCGTGGTGAGTATCTATTTATCTAGTTGCATTTTTACATGCCTTTGAACTCCTAGGTTGGCAGGAGCTGGGACAAACGACGGGCGCTCACTCCGTCGCGTGGATTCGATCCTACAACTGCTGGTCTTCCAACCTTGCAGCACAGAGGCTTCTGCGGTTTAACCCACAGCGCCACCACGTCCCCACGTTCTACAATATTAATGCTTAAATGTTTGAAACTTGGGACACCTTCCAACTTACTTCTGGGCGCCCTCACCAAATGTCAACCACCTGACCACAGATGAAGAAGACAACAAAGAGCTTGCATATGATTCTATCCAAATAGTGTGCATATTTCCCCAAAATGGGGCACCAATCCAACGCTGACATTAGAAGACCACCATCACAGGCTACTACTCACCCCTCCTAGAAACCATACAGAGTTTCAGGAAAGTGTCATCAAACAACAAGAAGGAATCTCCTAAAAAGCCAGGTCAGAATGGCAGGGAAAATACCGGACCAGACACCAAAGATGTTGGCAAATCCTTGAGTCCCAAGCCCGAGTCTGAATCTTTGGTACCAAGTACCCTGCCTGAGTCTTTGGTATCAGGTTCCGAGCCGAGTTCCTATTAAAAACAAACTTTTTTCAACCAGAAAAAAGAGAGGGTGTGGGTGAGCTCTGAGTTGTGAGTCAAGTCTAAAAAAACAAACAAATCCAAGTCCAGGTAGAGCCAACAGCCCACCTTATGTCAGAGAGTCCCATGACTTGGGACCCCTCCCTGCCAGTCACACCCACAGTTATCAAGTGGATCAAGGAAAACCCTGTCTTAGGTGAGATTCATCGAGATCTGGTT